ATGACCAGCCATATTTGACGCTTTTCCTGGTTGTCTTGCGAAACAGCAATACATTCGTAACCCTTCTCTCCCTTCTCGTAGCGCACTAAATCATATCGAATTTTAATAGATACCGAAAAGAAAGGGAAAAAATACGATTTACACGTACGTATTCTACATCGCGTGCTTTTTCTTTAGCGCGCGATTTGTTGGAAAATCTATGTTCCGCATATCAAGATGGAAACCATGTATTCGGATGCTTGTGCACGTCGAAATAAAAATACACTTCTAAAACTCGGAAACTGCATATCTAAATTCCTCGTGTCTTGAACTAGATGGTATTCAACATTCTTCCATTCACGTATCGCGCCTGATATCACATGCACACATTCGGAAGAATATATGAGATCGATATTCCTTGAATTTTTCTCCGTATATCTTATATATCATGCTTTTGAAACGAATTGGAAAAATAAGTTTTATCTCTAAATAAAGATAGCTTTATCGATATTATAAAATAGCTCGAGAAAGTATCTTAAAAATTATTCCATCATAATATTATTTTATTGACAATAAAAAATATTAGAAAACATTTCCCTGGAAAATTATTTAATAAATGGTTTATATTTCATTTCAAAGATTTATTTTATTTGTGCTTCTGTTTTTATTTATTTCATTTATTCATTTATGTATTTCATAAAAAGCTACTTTTATCAGAATTTCCGCAAATTGAATTCTACATAAAATGCAGTAGTAAGCAAGATCATATTTGATTTTAAATAAAATTAATCGTTAATGTAAAGTAAAAGTAATAATAATAATAATAATAAATGGAAAAAATTTATTAATATATTAATATATGTACAACTTTGCTTCCGCCGTTTTCCTATAGATGGCTTTAGCGGTAAGTGGTGGTCGAAATAAATAGATCATAGACGTCATACAATAAACTTGAACATCTGTCAACATAACCCCATAGAAACATTAGTCGATTTGTGTCTGCAAGTTATTCTCGATTGAAAATGTCAGTTTACGAGCCAAATTCTCGTCATTTGCGAGAGGTTTTAATTTTTTTGCTTCAATATGAAGAAATCTGCGGCTGAGGCTCATCGAATGCTCTCAAATACTTATGGTGAGGCCGCTATTAGTGAAAGAACGTGTCGTGAGTGATTTTAACGCTTCAAGAACGGTGATTTTGACGTCCAAGGTCATGCTCTGTATTTGGTGGGACCAGCTCGGCGTAGTGTATTATGAACTGTTAAAACCGACTGAAACAATCACAGGCGATCGGTATCGAACGCAATTGATGCGTTTGAGCCGAGCATTGAAAGACAACGGCCGCAATACAACGAGAGACACGATAAAGTGATTTTGCAGCATGACAATGCTCGACCCCATGTTGCGAAAGTGGTCAAGACATACTTGGAAACGTTGAAATGGGAAGTCCTACCCCACCCGCCGTATTCTCCAGACGTTGCTCCCTCTAACTATCACTTGTTTCGATCAATGGCACACGGCCTGGCTGACCAGCACTTCCGGTCTTATGAAGAAATAAAAAATTGGATCGATTCGTGGATAGCCTCAAAAGATGACCAGTTTTTTCGACACGGGATTCGTACGCTACCCGAAAGATGGGAGAAAGTAGTGGCCAGCGATGGACAATACTTTGAATCATAAATGTATAACCAGTTTTTTACAATAAAGCCTCGAATTTCGGAAAAAAACGGCGGAAGCAAAGTTGTACACCTAATAAATCACAAAAATAAGCGAAAAGAATCTTATTCGATCAAAGTGATTCTTGATGCTTATACCAGGAAAGATTTCTGATTGAAAATGAACACATCAATCAGAATTTTGGTTATTTCAACTTTATATTAAAATTATAATAGATTCAACCAAAAAACTTGCAATGCAACTCTTTTTCCAATATAATAATATTTTTAAATGAATTTTACAATTTCCAGTTAATAAACAACTACGCATGAATTAATTTTCTATTTAAAATTAATTAAATAAATGATATATTTTAATACATAAATAAATTTTTATCATTTTTTAAAATCAATATATGTAATATACTGTAAATAAACGATTTATTACGACTTAGAAGCTCGTTTATTTTAACAGTGTCTGCAGTATTTAAATGAAATTACCATTAATGTTTGTAACTCATTACCGCTGTCTGAGGGGATTTTGCGACCAGGAAGTTGGTTATTATTAGTATATTGAATTTTATGTATACCGAGTTTTAATAAATGAGAAATCCGTGTTAGTCGTATCATCGATTCGACATCTTACAAATGCATTTAGACTTCTTGATTATCGATTCTCAATAATTACCTCTGGTTGCGCGGATTCATTAATCTGCCCTTTTTAGTCATTAAGAAAAAAAGGATAGGAAAGTATCCTTCGATCTGTATTTACGAGAAGTACTAATCGATATTGCATTTCCGCCGATTTAACCACGCTCGCGCGCTTTCGGAAGTTTAATTTTTTAGCAGACTTGGTAATACCGCGCTCGTGTGGAATCCGTTCGGCTGCATCTCGCCGCGAATTTTTCCATCGCAATTTATCTTTCAAAGAATATCGGGTTGGCTTCTATTTTTTATCATCCGATGTCGCGCTTATTTTCTTCATATATCGATTTTTTCACAAAGCGGATTTTAGAAATTTTTAAATGGATCTTTTACGATTACATTTATAACAATTGTATCTATAGAAAATTGTATAGAAAAATTGGCAGAACGTGAAAATGTATTACAATATAGTGTTGCAATCTCAAAGAGTAATAACAAAAATAGTAATAAAGTCATCATCCACTTTTAGGAACTTATCGTATAAATAATGGCTGATTGCGCTATTATTTTATCGTATAAATAATGGCTGATTGGGCTATTATTTTATAGATTTAAGAAAATTGAATTGGAAAGATGGGAGATTGAATGAGTTGCTTCCGAGAGAAATAAATGGGTCATAGTTAATTGGGCCGCCGGCATGTCCCGTTTATCGAATGTTTAATTTGTCTCGTTACGATGCCGGCTCGTAATTAATTTCAATTAATTATATCGTCATTCCCGGGTCATCCTCCGCTCTCATTTTACGGCAATGATTCTACATACAATTTATTCGCGAATAAAATCACGTACGCCAATATGTAGAGTTTTACGAGAGGGTCGTGAGCGCCGCGTGCTCGTGTCACAGACGCGGTCGCCGACTGCATTGCGGTTATAATTAATTGGCAAACTGCAAATTACATGATAATTCTAATTATTTGTCGCTTTGTAAAGCGATTGCTAGGATAATGGCATGATTAGAATTTCATGATTGTCTGTACCGCGCGTTTGTGGTTACCGAAACTGAAAACCTGGGATTGCAGTTGTAAGTATCGTTTTACTTGCATACTGCCGTAGGATAACTATATAATTAGTTAATAACATAGATAACTGCGCCAACTTATGAATGTCTCTCAAATCTTAAAAATGTTTCTGCTTAACCAACTTCATTGCAAAGTATACTTATTTCTTATGAAATTCAATATATTCTTGTAACATCTTTAATGATATTCTACCAATTACTTCTTAAATGAACGTTCTTGCTAGATGAGATACAAAACTTCCAAGAAAGTATGAACTTTAGGCGATAAAATTTAACTTGCGAAAACTTGAAAAATTTATTAAATTGGAAAGCGCATTAACTTTGGAGAATCAATTGTTTTTCAATAATTAATGTGCTAAAAGCGGATATTTATATTAACTTCGATATCAAATTTTTCATTATTGCAAATTGAATAAGGATTGATTTCAAAATCAATTGAATGTGATTGATTTCAAAGCATACATTAGCAATCAGCTGTTTCGATGTAACGATTACTTAAAACGCATTTTACATATCAATTTTTAAATGAATTTCGATTACTACCTCACATAACTTTACTATAATGGCTTCTCCAAAAGGAAAAAAGAATTCATTATGAGCGATGCGGGTACTGAAAAGTGCATCGATTTATAATTAACATTCAAACTGATTTCCGAAATAGATTCTCTCTTTGTGAATTGCATCTATCTGTTAAAATGTGCAAGCACTTTTAAAGGCATCGCATATCTGCGATTCAATTATCTAGCAAAAATAATTTCTCTTTCACTTATTAACTTCTTTAATCCCTTTCTCATTAAGAATTAACGTTAAGAATAACCTGCGTGTACTCAGCTTTGCAAAAAATGTAATGGACATCTATGGGATTGCTACAAAAAGTCAATTTTATATTTATGAATTATTCAAAAATTTAACAAAAGAGTGATGGCAAAAAGACCTGTTTTTTCATCCATTTTTTGAACCTCGAATTTCAAACTTTTTTTTATGCCAAATAGTACTATGATGTAACATTAATTCTAGAAAAATTTGAAGATGAGCATAGACATGATTTCGGAGATATGAAGGGATGAAAGTGATGATTTTTCATAACCCATGAAAATACACGAAACTTTTCAAGTGTTCATACCAAGGAATAAAATATATATTTAATGAAGTGAAATATATCGTTTCTTATGGATTTTTTTACGTCCGATTCAAATAATTGAATAGTTTTCGTCTAGCATGAAAATTCCCCGAGATAAATGGAATCAAAGTGACATTTGTCGCCTTTCACAGATGGGGTATTTCACCCCCTTGTATCCTCGAAACCGTGCCAATGCTCATCTTAAAATTTTACTGGGATTAATGTTTCTAATCTAATCATACTATTTACCAATAAATAAAATAAAAAAAAGTTTAAAATTCGAAGTCCAAAAAAATAAGCGAAATTTACCATCACTCTTTCCAAATTAAAATATAAATTAAAATACAATTTTTCTGTTAAAATTAATCAGCTTATTTAATTATGCGATTACTTCATTAAAATATAGATTTTGTTAATGATTTTATTGGACATAACGATATTGCGATATAATTGACTGTTACTAATTCAAGTACAATTAAAATGTGCTACTAGCCAGAATGCTTTTGATATTGTTTGTTCTACTCACTTCAGCGGGAAAAGCATAGTTATTAATACGATGCTCGGAACCATGACCATCATCCATTCCGTAGTGAATATATATTTCTTCAAACTGATAGTGATAGGCGAGAGGGCCACCCGTTATATTAACTCGTATCTTCGCCTCCCTGTCTGCTCTGAATACCAGGAATTGTCCAGTATTATGTAAGTGTCCGGAAATCTGAAAGCAAAATTGATTGTAGTTTGTTAGTATCAATAACAAACTTAGTCAGCAGAATGCAATTAAATAGATTCATTCAGACAGCAGTCTAATTGCATTAATTGATTGATACTGCAAATGAAAAGAAAGTTCGTTATATATATGCACAAAATTAATTTGTATCCTCTTGAGTAATAACAAAGTGACAATAAATTGTGATAATAAGTTTAAATTGTTATAAATATTATTAGAAAAATTAAATAAAAAAATTTTTAAGTTTAATAATTTTATTAATTTAAAAAATTTTAAGTTTAATTTTAAAAAAATAACAAATCGTTAAATTTACAAATTATAAAGTAATATATCATAGATAGTTTCGGTATGAATTCATTTTTTAAATAAGTTTTTTTTTACCAGACTTTTGTTGATGATGATGTAAAGAATTTTTAACACTAATTCAATGCACTTTAAAACGAGAATCGCAAACAATGAGAGATTCGTATGCCTTATCATAATGAGTTGCATAAGAGCGCGGTTGCAAAGATATCTACAAGAAAGGGCGGCAACTCGTCGTCCGCGGGATAATTGATTAGGCATTTAATTGGATGGAATAGCAAAACCAGACACGGTGCCATGTCGCACAGGAGCTCCGGCAAAGTGCAAGACGAGGCCGGAGAAGTCCATTTTCTTGTACGTCGCCGAGAACCTGAATTATGGCGTCATCAGTTAGAAATAATGAGGTAACCTCGGGGAGAAGCCACCCGCGAAAGACACGTCGGCAAAAGTCGTCGGGAGATAACTTATTATTTTGCAATAGATTTTTGGCCCCTTTGACCTCCTTTCCCTATTCCGATCCTTCTCGTCTTCTGTGCACGACAATTCTTTCTCTCTCTCCCTCTCTTTTTCGCAAAACTTATTACATTAATATAGAATCTTTCTAAGATATCTTGTATTCAATAAAAGATGACTAAAAGATGACAGAAACTGAAGCCAATATTTCGTTACATGTAAAAATATTTTTTAATCTTTTATCACTTTTAAGAACAAATTTAAAATGACAAATCATTTAGATACGATAAATTATAAAGTAAAAATGACATAATTCAGAAATATATAAAATTGTTGTGTTTAAAAAAAATTAATACTGTCGTGTCTGTAAATATATACTTTATATTAGACGGAAAATAGTTGTAATTTTACATGTAACTTTTTTTACAGTGTACAAGTTACAATAATTTTGTATCGCAAATTTCAATGACGCATAATTCTCTCTAAATTTAATTAATCCCACATCGATCGTTACTCTCAGTTCCTCACTCGCTGTTTCCTCCCGAATTCATTAAGATATGGGAGAGTAGCGGTTCTCCTTACGATGACAAAGAGAAATGAACATGAACAGGCGGCGCGACGGCTTTTCCCCGACGCGTAGAGGAGAGTCAATGGTGCATAACTCATTATTTCGCGATAGATTTCCATCCTCCAGTCGCCAAGAATTATTCGTCCGTCCCCCTCGTCTTTTTCGTTCGCTCGAGTTCCTTTTTCTCTGATACCACCGAACTTAGATCAATGGAAGGAGACTCAGTGAGAGACCGGAAGGAAGACTCACAGCGGAACACGGTAGTTCCGCGCGATTTCGAATGGGCACACAAAAGCCGCTCTTCTTTCAACGAAACTCAAAGTTCGGTCGGGAGTGGATCATCTTCCATCCTTACGCCCCCGTCTTGTGAAGCTACCTCTCTCATCGTTTCGCAAAGTCGTTCGCCTCGGTCCGAACAATCGTCATTGCGCATTCTGGCCGGCTGCCGTAGAATCCACTCCCATTTTGTTCCCATAGGAGCTGCAGAACGAGCGATGTTGGATAATGGCGGTTGAGAAAGTAGGAGGGAGACGTCGAGATATAAGAAGCGCGTGGTGCCAAATCTTCTTAAAGTTCATCGACTTCGCGGCGCGGCGATGTTTCATGATTAATACCAACTCTACTTCCTTTTTCAGGTAATGGGAATGCCGGTTGGGAGAAGTCATGAGAATAATCGACTTTCGCAGGAAAGGGTTGAAAGGAGAGAAAGGGAGTGCTTAGTTAAGAGCTAGACTCTTGATGTAAAGTCTAGTTCCCGTGGAGTGTTTACGAGATTGCCGAAACTCGCTAAATCCGTTTTCCATACGGACTGCAATTTCGCGATTACGCTCCAGGAATTCGGAAACTATGAAAAATGGATTTAGTTGCATAATGTACGAAAGCTAACGGCGTTATATTTGGCTCCTCGAGCTTTTCCACTGCGATCTTTATTCGTGATCGAAGGCCACAGTAGAAATGAACAATGCCTGGTCAGACGGTGATTGGTTCTTTCCGTTAACCAGAACATTTTTCTCTATGTAAGTTCTAAAAAAAGCGTCGTGCTTGAGGTACAGAATGCAAGTAAATTTCCTCCCGGTAACTGACAGAAGAGTTGAAAAGTCTTTATCTACCCGGACAAATGACGTCATAGAGGCATCATAAAGATATCTTTTGGGTGACATTTATGTCTAAAAGATATCTAAAAGACGTCATAAAAACATCTTCTAAACATATTGTGTGTTGTCTGGATACAATTTAAAACTTCGTAATACGAATTGTACAATCATCTAACATTTCTATTTCGAAATCAAATGACCCGTTGTTGTAGCCGAGGATAAAGCATTCCACATAATTATTTTGTTGATTCAAGAGATTATTTTCAGATCTGTATTTAGCAGAACTTTTAGATACTTCAGCGAAACCGTTCTTTCCGTGTACACCAACCAGAATTAAGCTTCCGCGTGAAACGAAGGAAATCAAGGTAGTCGGAGGATTAGTGGAAATGCCACGAAAGACCTCCAAAAGCCGGTTACGGAGTCCAACATTGTCCGGTAATTAACACGAATCGAACGACTATCGGAATCACCTCGCACGCGACTCACGTACGTTCATCCCTCTCCCCCTCCCCTCCCCCCTCTCTGTACTCGGAATGCGAAAAGCTCGCCTCGCTCGCATGCCTCTTCCCCCACAGTTAACTAACAATCCGCTCTGTTTATAGAACAGTTAAGATCGTTTCATGCGCCGCGACAGTTTCTTACACCGTTCTACGATCGGGTTTATCGAAACGTGCCGCTTCAATTACGGCTGCGCCGACCACAGAGGCACGTCCGGGAATTGGCAATTCCGGCGCGTAAGAGAACGCGCTCGTTACAGCTTCGATTATAGCAAGTCCATTGTATACACATACAATTCGCTAGTTTCGCGAGGGAATTGTTCGTGCGAAGAAACGTACTATGGTATTGACTGGCCGTTAGCAGCGGCTTTAATGTGCGCCAAAGATAGAAGTAGTTCGTAAAGGCCTGATGCCGTTTCAACCGAAATCTACTCGATCACTTGTTGCAATAAAATTACAGGCAAGTAACGCCGATATACAGAATATACTAAATTTTACTTTATAAAATTTCTAGATTACTTTCGTTACTTGCTATTTTAAAATTTATTATAAAATTTTTTCATTACAATTATTTATCATTCATTAGATATAATTCATTGTAATTCAATTCATTGTATTTAAAATTTCTTCATTATAATTAGAATTTACTATAATTTCAATTTGTAAAACAATGCGAGCAATTAATTATTTAACTGTATTGTTGTTAAATAAATTACTAAAATATTTATGATTGATATGTGTTTTAAATAATCATACATAGAAGAAACAGTCATGGTTGAATTAACAAGATATATATTTGATTAAGCTTTGATATAAGTAAACAGAATTTCTGATGACTAAAATCAAATATTTTGGTAGGCAACCTTTAGGTATAATATCGATTAGAGTTTGATTAATGCATATGTAGTAATAATATCCAAATATCTGATTATTATAATTACAAGGGAAAAGAGCATGGTTGAATTAACATATATAACATGATAAATAAATAGTTTGATTGCTATATACGTAATTCAAGTAATTCAACTAATTCTTTTCAGTGTAAGACCTTTTACATTGAGAGAAAAAAATGGTCGCAATTAATTTAACTATAATTTATAATTATTTTTAGAATAATTATAGATTTATAATTGTTTGAATCGTTCAAATAATGTGTTATTAATAAATCTCACATACACTGCTTGAAAATCGTCAGTTTTTCCTTAACATATTTTTTAATTATTATTACCACATAAATAATAAATGAAAATTTGAGAATAATTATATTTACTATAATTAATAATTATTTTATTATTATGCAATTGTAATCATAAATATCAAAGACTTTTCTCTTAGTGTGTTTTAATTACATTACATCAATTCATACAAAAATCTGACAATTTATGATCTTGAAATAAAATACCGACAATTAAATACCAAAATCCATTTCATTATATCACCGAATTGCAGCAGATAGGACAATAGCAAGAAGATCCGGATAGAAATTGATCGGAATTAGGTTTCACCGGAAACGTAAGTTTCTATAGCGAAATTATGGTATCTCTACCGTATCTTGCGTACGTTTGCTACCGTACTTGAAACGATCTATAGACGTTTTCGCGGGCGAACTGGCCATACGAACGGATTCTGAGAGAAAGCGAGAAGGACTGGAAGAGAGATGAAACGGTTGGAACAAGCTCCGCTGAGCCGAAGACATACGTTCGACTCCAGGAGGTGCCCGGGCGCGCGGTTCGTTCTATTGTTTAATTTAAGTGCCAAAGTTTTAACCGGGTTAAACGGCGTATAAATTCACGAGGTCCCCTTCCTCGGTTTCGCACGACTTTGTCGTACCAACGGGGTTGGTCGGTCGGTTGGTCGGTTGGCGTCGACTATGAAACGGCCCGAGACCACGTTTAAATAGCGGCACCAGGCGAGACCAGATGTAACGTCACAGTGCGGTTTCCGTCACACCAGAAGCCCAGCTTCGTCTTGTCTCTCCATATGCTTCCTACAAGGATCGAGCTCGAATCTCAACCTTGCCAGAAACTAAAAGATTCGTATTCTCTTCGGAAAAGATTTTTTAAAATTATATATAATCTTTGACAAAGAAAGTTATATGCGCATAAGTTTAGACAAAAAGGCCATTATCTCGGAAACAATGACAAATACGACAAATACATATGCTATAGCATTATTTCGAGTCCTTCCGACAAAATTTATGAGAAAATATTCTATATATCGAAGCTATATCTACCATTGTTATCAAGAAAACGATCGCAAAGTTAGATCCTAAGTATAAGGTATATAACTTTTTTTAATCGAGGAGTGTATGTGTATATAAAAATATATATAAATAAAAATATATATATATTTGTTTCTTCTTTCACTTTAATTTCTTCATTTTATCTCGCTGCTAACTCAATCCTTTTTCTCCGATCCCTCTGATTCCTGCTTGAAGTGAAACTTTCAAAAACTTTGCGCCCTCTATGTGTTTGCCGCCGCGTGTGATTTCTCGGCGGTTTCACGCCGCTTGTTTCAATGAAAGAGGCGAGGGTCGGCGCGGCGTCGACGCGGTTAACAGCGCGGCAAGAGGCAGGAGGATACTTGAGAGAACTCTCTTTAGCGCTTCTCTCATTGCGCGCACACGAAGGGAGGAAGCCGCTTGCTGGAGGGTAGATAAACAATGAAGAGTCCCGTTCGTGGCTCGTTTCAAAGCGCGATGGAATGCATCCGGTGACGATGTAGCTTGCGCACAGCTCGTGAGAAATACGACTACTGACGGCGACGTAGAAAAGATTGACTCTACGATGAGGGCATAGCGAGAGGAAGCAATGGAAACGAGATCGCATAGGGTGAGAAGGAAACGATAACGGTGACAAGAAGAGGGAACGACAGGGCAAACCTCGAGATACCTCTAGAGCGTTTAAACCTTTTCACGTGCATTTCCGTGGAAGACACTTTGTGGTCTCGGTCTCTGCGCTCGGCGAAGTCGAAGAATGCGCACTTTTTTCCCTTTCTCTTTTTTTCCGTGAACGAGAGGAAACAGGAACAGGAAGCGAAATAGGTATCACATCTACGACTTCCGCGAGAATAGGATGGGTGGATAAAATAGCTGGTTGCGCTGAATAACGCATAGTACAAACAAATAAGTCAGGACGCTGCACTGATAAAGTCGAAGAAATAAACGAAACGCATATATAGAATAATGTAAAAGCGAAGCCAAGAAAAAGGGAAGTAGAAAAGTTGTGCGAAATTCATTGGTTCACAAATATATCTAGCATCGAACTCGTCTTCCGCAAATTTTCTATTAACCTGCTGTATCGTTTTACACAATGAAACATTTAATATTTATCGTTATATTTTAATATTTATCATTATATTTATCGTTATATTTTAGGCGACATTTATTGAAGCAATAAAGATTGTAAAAGATACGGATGCTTTTTTATTTCACGCAACGAAACGCGATAAAAGGAGTCAACATTGAGAGACACCGACGTCGCAATAATACCTTCGCAAGCCAGTTCTGGTCGCTTGCATCTGGTACAAAAGAGTTATTGTCACGATCGCGCCGTATTTATTGTATCCCTTCGCGGGCAATATTGTCGCGCGGGAGTTTTCGGTCAGCGTCTCGCATGGAGAGACTGGCGAAATACGGCGGCGGGACTCTTATCCATCTGCGAAAACCCATATCCAATGTTGTATCCGAGAGAGGACATTGTCACAGTAGTCGGGCATTTTTCATGTTCGCTTTTCTGAGGAATAACGCCCCGAGACCGCGGCCCATGTTAGTGCGCGGTGCATGTCCCGTGGAAAATAGTGGGAGCACATTGAACATGAGAGGAAAAAGATGACCATATAATGCTTCGGTGCCACGATAGAAATATCTTGGTGAAAACGTTACGTTTATAGTATACACAGATCGACAGAATTGAACACTGAGGGAAAATTTTTTAATATTTGTAATTATAATTTCATGGTATAATAATTATTATAATACTCTATATAATTTCATGGTGTCATAATTATAATTATTATAATATTCTATAATAATAATAATAATAATATTTATTGTTCTAGCAAAATATGTATATAGGTAACAAAAATGACTATATAAATTATGATTATTGTTATTAAAATAATTGCATTTAACACAATTTAACAATAAATAATAACTATAATTTATAATCATCTTCGGTGCCAACTATATTTTTTTTAAACAGAATTAACATAAATATAGATAATTATTACAAGTAATTATGGTATCGTGTAATGATGATACAAATACCAAACTTAGCTCAGTAAATGTAGCGATATATTGAACAAAAGTGATATAAATTGATAGATAGAAATGAAAGCCATAATAAAGAAACAACAGAACATTGTTAGATTTTGTAAAAAAAAAAAGTTTGTTTTATCGAGATATTTTTTCATACAAAATATATAATTTTATAAAGCAAGCCAGAAAAGCCATTTGAAAAATATGTATTAAAAAAATAGCGCACGTTATTTTTATACGTGAATAATAGAGTGTGATATTTTAAGCAAGTAATGTGTGTTTCATTTTTCTCTTCCATCGAAATCCCACAATATATACTCGCATGTATAATTTTCACTATTCTTTTTTTTTCTCTCGGTAAATTCGAATTATAGAGTTGTACTCCGAAAGCAAAAAGATATGAATGAGAATATAAATGGAGATGTAAATCGAGCAACGCGCGCGTTACAAGTTCTTCCATTCTACATCGAAAGTTCATACTCTTCTATATCGAAAGTTCACAGAGACTTTCCGTTCATGCATTTATAAACGGTTTTCGAGCCCTCAATATATTCTTCAATGCGCTCATACTACATGCATGAGTCACTTGTAGTATATGCAAATAGGCGAAAATTCAAAATAACGAATATGTATGTAAGAAATATATCATCTCTAATAAAAAAATAATAGATGTTTTCCTCAATTATGCGATTTTTTCGCATGATTTTCTAAAATTTTCATGTCTTCATTTCGCTGAAAAATTATTAAAAGTTACTATCATCAAATCGAGCCCGAGCAGCTTCGAGCTGCAGACGAGTGGTATGATGAATAAATGTTTCCTTAATGGTAAATTAACGTTTCCCGTGGCTCTTGGAGGCATCCTCACTGATGGAGCGGAAATCAGCGTTAAATAGGTGGCCTCGTAATTAATGGCTTTATTATCGAATCAACGAACTCGGCCAGTGAAAAATGGACAGCGAGAAAGTGGAGCAGCTCTCGCCGGTGAATTCCAAATCCATTACTATCACGTGACAGCTCTGGGAATACTTTTACGGTAACCAACCCGATTTTATCCTTGCTTTTCGCAAGGTGTTTCAAAGCAAATGAATCATTTCCAGCGTTTTAAGTTTAATTTAATACCGATATTAATTTTGGTTAAAATATCGGCTTAATAACTTGATGCAAATTTTATCCATTTTATATAACGCTTCGATGTTAAGTCAATCGCTACGTATAACTTTATCTTTTATAAAAACAAAAAGGTAATAATTTTATATTTGTATCTGTTTCACAATGCGGAAATTGTCATATAATATAATAGTTCTCTTCCATTTTGCAAAATAAGAATTCCAGTAAATATAAAATTTTAGCGTGCATATTATAATAAAAGCTATACAATTATGTAAAATGAAAATTGCTGTTATATTTAACGTTAAACAGAATCATATATTTATTCAGTACGTGAATCGAGTTACATTGTGTAATTATGAAATTTCATTAACGTGTACTGCATTTATTTTTCTAGCTGCGATGCCATTTATACTTCATTTTATTCGAGATAATGTGCACCAGGCTTCAAATAATTAAAATAATTATCATATACTGTTATAATTTTATTCTGACTTGTTTTAATTATAAAACGCGGCTCTATATATATATATATATATATATATATATATATATATATACACACACACACACACACACATATCGATCTTGCGAGCAAAGCAACTCGATTGCAATACGCATAATAGTGAGTGACGCGTAATTACATGCAATAGTCAACATATTCAAACGTATCCGTTGTAAACAATGTATCATGAGTCGTAATGAGTGGCCACGTTTGGAAATCATTAATATCAATGAGAGGTATCTCTCATTACCTGTCCGCCAAACGCAAAAACCCGAGCAATTTAATCATCCCACCGAGGGACACCCAGTATGTACTCCGCTTGACTAACGAGCGTCCATCAGACGACTCTTTCGTCTTCATTTGAAGTGGACGTGCACACGGGACAAGACCGAACTTCGGCATTTTACTTCTTCATTCTTTTTGTTTTTTGAGATCATACTCGAACGCGATATCCGATATCGTCGTGTTAAATCTTTATTTATCGGAAATTGATAAATTATGTAATAATGTGAAAATATCTACCGTAAATTTGAAACATCTGCAATTGAAATTTAATTCGATAGGTGCGCGTGATGTTCTGCGAATTTAGAGCATATTTTATGGCGAAATACTTTGTATAATTAATTTTATGCGTCCTTAATTAAATATTGATACAATAATCTGGCATTCTCTCAATAAAATTTACTAAATCTCTCTATAACATATTAAGTTTTTAATTATAACTTTTTCCACGAAATTCTGACTTTACCATACGCTTGCGTGTCCGAAGACCTGTGAGAATTCTACTCACAAATCACTTTGCAATTTTGTGGACTGAAAGATTAAATAGATTACCCTGTGTTTGTCGACGTGCACCGGTCTCAAGTGACGATCGAAAAGCAACTTGTCCGGCTCGATGTTGATGGGACTCTGCCGCCTTCCTTTAGTGCAAAGAGACCACTGAGGATTTATCAAACCCCAAAACGAAGGTCCTGCAAAAAATATCATATGTTAATATGACAAAAAAAAGACTGAAAAATAATAAAAAATTAAGAAAAATAAAAAACAAGCTTATAATGAATTTGAGAAAACTTTAGAAATTCTAATAGAAAAAAAAGAATAAACGATTTTAAAATATTTAAAAATAAAGCTAAATACAGATTTATTGTTAGTTAAATTTTTGGATACTTCAACAAACTATCCTTTTCATGAAAAAATTCCATTTATATTAGGTGTACAACTTTGCTTCCGCCGTTTTCCTATAGATGGCTTTAGCGGTAAGTGGTGGTCGAAATAAATAGATCATAGACGTCATACAATAAACTTGGGCATCTGTCAACATAACCCCATAGAAACATTAGTCGATTTGTGTCTGCATCATAAAGTTATTCTCGATTGAAAATGACAGTTTACGAGCTAAATTCTCGTCTCATTTTGCGGGAGGTTTTAATTTTTTGCTTCAATATGAAGAAATCTGCGGCTGAGGCTCATCGAATGCTCTCAAATACTTATGGTGAGGCCGCTATTAGTGAAAGAACGTGTCGTAAGTGATTTCAACGCTTCAAGAACGGTGATTTTGACGTCCAAGGTCATGCTCTGTATTTGATGGGACCAGCTCGGCGTATTATGAACTGTTAAAACCGACTGAAACAATCATAGGCGATCGGTATCGAACGCAATTGATGCGTTTGAGCCGAACATTGAAAGACAAACGGCCGCAATACAACGAGAGACACGATAAAGTGATTTTGCAGCATGACAATGCTCGACCCCATGTTGCGAAAGTGGTCAAGACATACTTGGAAACGTTGAAATGGGAAGTCCTACCCCACCCGCCGTATTCTCCAGACGTTGCTCCCTCTGACTATCACTTGTTTCGATCAATGGCACACGGCCTGGCTGACCAGCACTTCCCGTCTTATGAAGAAGTAAAAAATTGGATCGATTCGTGGATAGCCTCAAAAGATGCCCAGTTTTTTCGACGCGGCATTCGTACGCTTCCCGAAAGATGGGAGAAAGTAGTGGCCAGTGATGGACAATATTTTGAATCATAAATGTATGACCAGTTTTTTACAATAAAGCCTCGAATTTCGGAAAAAAAAACGGCGGAAGCAAAGTTGTACACCTAATATAATAATTAGATAGTTGTTATCCATTATAACAATTTTTTTTTTTACAAAAAGAACGTTATTGTTAAAACGTTCTTTTTGTTAAAACGTTCAAAAAACATGCTGAATGCGTTATTTTATCTCGAAATTTTGTACTTGTATCGTATCTCCGGGCAACTGGGAAGTATAAGAGAAACTCGGTCGTGCAAATTCCCAAGAGAGATTCTTATTTTCTCTGTTTGAGTATGAATCGTCGTGTCACGTGTCAACCGCTCGGAAATCTGAAATTTTTATAATTTCAACTTTTCCGGCTGGTCGCGCCGACCGGTCCGTTTCTTGTCCAGCCCGCGTCAAGTTTCGCACAGCAGAAGGGATTTTGAACTCGTTTCGCCAGCTTCGTACGCCAGGGACCAACGCAACTCCCTTCCGATACTTCCGTCTTAGGGACCGACCGACGTTCGCGTTTTCCCCGGCACTCCTCTGAGAAATTTAACTTTCTTCACGTCACTCGCAAGGATCGATATCCCGAGAAAGCAGCTTAACGAATCCACGATTGCGAATCTGAGCGAAAAGGCACGAACTGCGTCCCTGTATTTCTCATTACATTCAATATTTACAAATAAATGATGTATTAAATACAACTATACACAAAAATCGATATTAAGTCTATTCTCATTCATATTTCATATTTATATGAATTTATTTAGATTTGTATCCAAATCAATGTATCTCTTCATTCACTGAAATTGAAAAAATAACAAATCGCTTTCAATTCACTCACTTCTTCTGAGAAATAATAAACTTTCTTGAAATGTTTTTAACGTAAGCAAAATTTTTATTTTTTTAATAATTATTTGTTTACAAAATCACGGTTCATTAACAATTCTGATGAAACAGCGATTTATGTGCAACATGTTAAAGGTAAACAATAAATTATTAATATAACAACTCATATAAACAATACATTGGGTATGCGGGAATTTGGTAATATAACGGTAAATGAGAAACTCACACATACTGATCATTCGAGAGATATCATTATACACAGAATGCCTTAAAAATGTAGATTTTCATTGTGTCTAATTAGCCATAATTAATTCATTCATAAAAAGAAAACACAAATTGTTCGTGTAGAATTGTAATTAATTAAAATAATTATGATATTGGAAGTAAATATGGCATAATATTCCTCATATTGATAAAATTAATAACTACTATCTCTTCCATCAATTCTGCAGTGAGTACACTAAATGTGTGAAACATTTAAACTCTTCAATTTAAGTCTTTTTTGATACTAGTGAAATTTTACTCTTAAATTTCTTCGAAATAAAGAAGAAGAGAGCAGTTTCTTTGTTAAAGTATACTTTTTTTTTCAAACAAATTTTTATCTCTTTTTAATTTTTCCTCAAATTTAATTTTTATTAAATAAAGATTTTAAGACTTAAAAAACTTTGATAATGTAAATAATATAGAGATATTGGAAAAATAATCCTGAATTTTTCTTCATTTTTTGAAAACCTAGAACAGTAAAGAAAACTTGGATAGAATAAAAAGACTCAAATTACAGACAAAAGGAGTAAAAATATGATTGCAAACAGAGGATTAAAATATTATCAAATTAATTGCTCGTTTGCTTGTTTTTATTTGTCAGTAGACAAAAAAACACAAATAGAATCTCTCTTAAGGAACTTTTTTATGATTATCACATACTGGAAAGAATGTTGTTGCATTAATTGGAATTCTAGTTGAAAATGGACAAATCAAAATTTTCTGGCTGGCTCTATTATAATTCTAGTTGAAGTTATCAAAATTCTGATTTATATGATTAGACTCTCCCAGTACGTTCATTTTCAATCAGAAATTTTTCTCAACGTAATTATCAAATTCACCGCGTCATAATTACGCTATATAATTTTCTCGGTTGTACATACAAACAATTACAGATAGACAGTAACATATTATTGGGTTGCCCAGAAAGTTCGTGCCGATTTTGAAGGAAAATTGAAACGCAGAAGATTTAAATTTTAGTATACATTTATTAAATTATATAGGTTAGTCGGCACGAACTTTCCGGACAACCCAATAGATAAGATTAATATTACACAAATAAACCCGAACATTTTAAACTATCCTATGTATACGCTCAGCGAAACAGATGTGCAAATGCGAATGCGTTTCAAGCTCGTATATTAACATTGCGAATTCTCCGAGCGGGGTACAAGGGATGACACGTAATGACGTGCCGGCACGCGAGCATAATCAAAACTTACGGTCTCGATAAACATGCGTATCGGTTCGATAGCGGACAACCCTGTGGAATACTGTGAATAGGTTTGCGCACAAACACACCCACGCATGCACGCATGCTCATGTGTGACAGCAACAACACGTCAACACTTTAGTGTGGTAATAGCGATGCAATTAACCTCGTTATAATTAGCTTTTTCGCGCTAGAACGCGCACTTTTTTTATCCTTGGTCGTTATGTGAGCTTCTCTCTATACCTGACGTGCGTGTGCGATTCACTTTATTGAACGGAACTCATTTATTAAAGAGCTATAAAGCGTTATATGTTAGATAAAGATTTTTTCTTTTTTTACATGTTGTTAGACATCAAAATAGCAATGGTAGCCTAATCTTTTCTGTTAAATAACATTTTGTCATATCTATCAAAATGTTAATCAATCCGTTCCTATAATATTCCTATATATATTGAATAATTTCAAAGTAAACAATGTACATATTAATAATATACGCTTACAAAATAAGTGAAATAAATAAATAAAATTTAACTTTGAAAAGGCGAAGATCTCTCGAAAACTTTTTCTTATATAGATATATAAGAATAAGATTTATTATAATTCATTGTATTATTTCATTGTATTTCTCTTGCCTCAAAATACATTGTTTCTGCGCTATTTTGAAGTAAATTTTAATATTTGTTTGAATGGTACTAGCAGAACATATTAAATGTAAATATATATTTATTATCGTCTTATTTTAAGTATAAAAATCATTAATTCGATTTAAATATCATTTTTTTTACTTAATAAATATTTATTTACCGTAACTAAATGTTAAGTTACATTTAAATAAATATTTAATTAAATTTTATTCTTTTTTTTCTCAGTTTATATTGATTTTCCCATCCTTTAAAAGTTGATACATTTCTGTTAACTCTTCTATCAATACATAATTTTTCATCTCTTCTCACTAGTATTGTGTTTCACAAAATTCTCGAAAAAAAAAATATAAAAGTGAAAACGAGATAAAATTTGTGCAGTTCTGCAAAGTTCTTTGTTATTCGAAGAATGTTTTTGAACCATAAACAAAATTCACGCAAAAATATAAAAATTTTTACTGTTTAAAATTAGATACGAATACCTATTGACAAAAGAGTTAAATTGTTTAACTTTATTGTTTTTATTAAATTAATGATATATTTGAATAGAAGCAGTGGCGACTTATAGAAATGATTAAAAATAACTCAAATTGTATAATATTTGACATTATAAATTTAACAGAAGCGATATAAAATGCATAGCTATTATAATAAAAAAGAGATAGAGAGACATATATGTAAATTAATTTTGACATCTGTTGAAAGAGCATCACTTACTCCCAAGTGTTACTTCCGCTTATGATTTCAATGTAAAATCACTAAACTCTCGCACCATAAATCTCAATCGGTTGCGGCGGCGTGAAAAATGAGTTGATATGACGTAGAGGAATATTATTTTTTGATTTATTTTCTGAACAAGTTGTTACACATTTCCCGGCACGCTCTTTTTACAACTTTCCTCGCATGTAAAGCGAGAACACGCGCGGCTTAAAGAAGGCCGCGGACTTGATTTCTTAACGCGAGAGAAGACTGTTATTATTCAC